GACCAAGCGAAAAGACCCCCTGGTAGATCATAATGCACAGTCACAATCATTTGAGGATTTAGATTCGGACGATGACTCCACAGCGAAGGCCTGGGGAAAGAGGAAGGCCGCCATTCTTAAGCATCTGCCATCTGGTATTGATGAAGGAGCGGCGAAGCAAATTCTTAACGATATTGTCGTGCAAGGAGACGAGGTACATTGGGGAGATATCGCTGGGCTAGAAATTGCTAAGAATGCTCTTAGAGAAACAGTTGTCTATCCCTTCCTTCGACCAGATTTGTTTATGGGACTGCGCGAGCCGGCCAGGGGTATGCTTTTATTTGGACCTCCGGGGACGGGCAAGACTATGCTGGCACGAGCCGTGGCCACCGAGTCGAAATCCACATTTTTTTCTATTTCGGCCAGCAGCTTGACGAGCAAATACCTTGGAGAATCGGAGAAGCTAGTCCGTGCTCTGTTTGGCCTTGCAAGAGCTCTAGCTCCCAGCATTATATTTGTCGACGAGATCGATTCTCTTCTATCGCAAAGATCTGGGTCAGGAGAACATGAGGCTACAAGGCGGATCAAAACAGAGTTTCTGATACAATGGAGTGATTTGCAACGCGCAGCTGCTGGAAGAGAAGCTACAGAAAAAGATAAAGAGCGAGGAGATGCAAACAGAGTTCTTGTTCTTGCCGCAACTAACCTTCCTTGGGCGATTGACGAAGCAGCCAGGCGTAGATTCGTTCGACGACAGTACATTCCACTGCCAGAGCCACGGACCAGGGAAACGCAACTACGAACGCTGCTAGGACAACAAAAGCACGGCCTTTCTGAATCAGATATAGAGATACTTGTTAGGCTGACAGACGGTAAGTTGGGTGCAAAAGTACTTCCACTGTTACTCAAATTCCGCGTTCTCTTTCTGAAATGTGGTTAACCAAGACACGAGCTCATACATCTTGTTGACTTATCATTTCAGGATTTTCGGGCTCAGATATTACTGCTTTAGCAAAGGATGCCGCAATGGGGCCACTTCGGTCACTTGGTGAAGCATTACTTCACATGACTATGGATGACATTCGACCTATTCTACTAGTAGACTTTGAAGCAAGTCTAAGCACAATACGACCCAGCGTGAGCAAGGCTGGGCTGAAGGAGTATGAAGATTGGGCTAAGGAATTCGGAGAAAGGGGAGGCTAGACAAGGATTCTCAAAACTTCGAGAATGTGCATGACAAGCTGAATTTTGTATAGTCACTAACTCGATCCAGCCACATACTTCACTATCATTTCAAATGCAATGCGCAGGCTGATTGTGATCAGGAGACAAAAGCTTCAAAGGTTCAATTCGCGGCATAAAGTACAAGTATTATATCTTACAACGTCGTATAGATTGGTTCCAGTCGTATTACTATTCCATCCACTTTGTCAGCCCAGCTCACAAATACAGTGCTTTTTGCTTGCGTATCAATCACTCATAATGCGTTGAACACCTGCCTCAGACCAAGGCCAATAATTTCCGCTTTCTTCTCGTAAGCTCCACGGTAACGGAGTCTTGTCTTAGTATAGTGCATTGCATATATATATGATGCAAACGATGCTAGAGTCACGTCGATAGTGCTCCATTCCCAAGTGCCCTCACGCATGACCTCACACTCTAACTGTTTGTCCTCGACAGCCTCCGTTCGGCTTTCGCTGCCTTTTTTGTCTCCCGATCCTCTATTCGTTCTTCTAGCGTTGGAACGGGCGGTCGCTCGTTGATAGGAGCACCAAAAGGGGCAATGATATGTTTCACAACGTGTCGTTTATGCCGTGAAGTCGGCCAGCCAGGCACAATCGACACAACATCTCCTGTTCGCAGTGACGAGTTGGGATCGTGTACAAGATAATGTTTCGGATCAGGGAACCACTGAAGCAGCCGCCAGTTAGCCCAATATTGAAGGATGCTATGGACAACAGTGTAGCTTCTCCAAGCTAAAACCCACCATAGGCAACAAGACTAAGACTTACTTTGTTCACGACTTTGTTCCACTTTTGGCCGCCTACTCGGACTTTGACAGTCTTTTGCATTAAGCCGGCAGATACTACTACACCGTGAAGTTCGTGGGCCACACGGCGTGCAGCTTTCGCAACTTGAGAAGACATCCTAGCATACGGCGACAAGTATCACCCTCATGAAGTAAAGTTCTTGTCGTGTTCGACTATGCAACCTACTTCCGGACTTCCAATATGGCCGCCGCAATGAAGTGAGGTAATACGGATCTTTGAGGTCTGCAGTATTCGAGTACAGAGGTAAATTCAGTGGGTCAAGTGATAAACATGTAAAGCAGGAGACCTGTAAAATGTTAGCAAGGGACTTTTTTGCCGCATCCCTGAACTATGATTTGTGTCACCGCTTGCCAAATACACTTGCTTACTCGGCATTATTACGTAATTCCAGGCCAGACTTGGTAGTTTCGGAAGCGGGGGTTGCTTAACGTCTGCTTGACTTACTTAGGTAAGTGCCTACGAGGTATGTACCTCATGTGCAGTGGGGCAAATTGACGACAAAAGATTCTCGTGGAAACCCGCCATCTTTTATCTTCCACAGCACACGTGTCCCAGGAACTGAAAGGACCCGTGAGCAGGGCCTCTTTTCTACGCAACGTGGTCAATTACATGGTACTGCATAGCTGAATTAGCTAGCTGTGAATCTATCTCACCGCTTCTCACCTCGCCAGGGTCACCACTAAACATCATGTCATCACCGGATCGCCGCACTGGGGTGAAACGACCTAGTAAGAAAGGCCCTACAATGGCTTTCCCTAAGCCTCCATCCCCCTGTATACATCCTCACCGGGCAGAAGACTAACCTTACCCTGTGTTCTCACGAAGCAGGGACACAATCGTTACCTCCCCCGGCATTGCCTCAGTTGGTCGCGGAGCAACACACTGCCATACCACCAACGGATAAGGACTCTCAGCGACTGATAGTTGTGCTATCAAATGCAAGTCTCGAAACATATAAAGCATCTCATGGCGGTAGTAGCAGAACCGGCGTTCATCGTGAGGACAAATATTCATTGCTCAATAGCGACGAGCATATAGGCGTCATGCGGAAGATGAATCGTGATATCAGCGATGCTCGTCCGGACATCACACATCAGGTCACATCCCTCCTCTGTTGGGTGAATTTTTTACTCGACTGTGCTGACTTTTACTTGCAGTGCCTGTTGACTTTGCTAGATTCGCCCATCAACAAGGCCGGTAAATTGCAGATTTACATTCACACAGCAAAGGGAGTGTTGATCGAAGTGTCTCCTTCTGTGCGAATCCCCAGAACATTCAAGCGATTTGCCGGCCTCATGGTTCAGCTACTTCACCGTTTGTCGATCCGATCCACCAACTCGAATGAAAAGTTGCTTCGAGTGATTCAGAACCCAATCACTGACCACCTCCCCCCGAATTGCCGCAAAGTGACGCTCAGCTTTGATGCTCCACTGGTTCGCGTCCGTGAGTATATGGAAACAATCGGATCGAAGGAGAGTATTTGTGTATTTGTCGGGGCCATGGCAAAAGGCTCGGACACATTTGCAGACTCGATTGTGGACGAGAAGATATCTATCAGCAACTATTCACTATCAGCCAGCGTGGCGTGCAGCAAATTCTGCCATGCAGCGGAGGATGTATGGGACGTTCTTTGAGCTTGCCAATTTTCTGCAAAAGTAAAGAACAGGACTTGGCATATGTGAAATTGTACGGTACGGCCAAGGCGACAACCTGTATGGTCATCCTGCAGTGATACAACATCGCCGCACGGTGTGACACGTCTGGCAGACACTTGGTTCGCCTGGACTTGGCGCCGTCTCTTGTTTCTACAACCAAAACACGGATGCGTTCAGGGGACAGGTCCAAGGCTCTTTCAACGTCTTGAAGGAGCAATTTCCCAATGCCGTTGCTCAGTTGGTTCTTATGGTGACATATTCTACCAACGGATCAGTATCAAGCGAATCCTGCTCGATGGCGCTTGTTCGAGGTCGTCATGATAGAGGGTTTGTCCACGTTGTCGAGCAACCATAATATCCGCCGGGCCAGGATAGTCCTTTCACCAAAAGGGATTGTGGTAATTGACTTCGGGGCTTAGGACTTAAGTATCGTCAATCCGGCTGTGCGGATTTTTGTTTGAAGCATTCTTCCTACATCGTAAGTCATTATTCTAGGATATACAATCGAAATATGTTGTTATTTGAAGGCGCTTTATCGACCGCATACACACCATCATAAAGCCATTGACAAGTATGTGCGTGAATACGTTTAGTCCTGATTTATGAGCCAGACAAGTATTGGTGCATATGTGCCGCAGGACAATACAACTGCAGTTCCCAGCCAAAAACAATAATGAAAGCGAAGCCATGCAGAAACAACCCATACTTCAGACCGCCTTTTCCGTCAACCAATACCATTACAACAGTCGCAACGGCTTTTGAGTGCCCTGCATTGGACCCAGAGCCAGCACACAACAAGGAGTTGATAAACGGTCACGATGGTCCCATGCCTGTGTGAGCGAAGCCTATGGGCTCCAATGGCTGTGTGGGTGTCACCATGTAACACGACTTATCATAACAGTTGTTGTGCTGCAAGTGGTCAATCAGCGTTTCATGGTTGCCACTTCGCTACATACGGTCGGCAACTGTTAGGCCGCGATACATTAGGTACATGCAGGTATGACAGGGAAGTCATATTGCACAGGCTGGCCAAGATACGGAGTGCCTGCCTGGATAATGCAGACATCTTGAATGTGCTAATTATTGTATGCCTAATCGTAGGTAGCTCTCAGGCATGAGTCTCAGTACTCGAGCCGTCGAATCCAGCCAATCCTACCTGCAGCACCTGCAGTGCAACTAGTATGCGATGACAATTTTCAAGTGGAGCGGCCTGTACTCCCGTTTCCTCCTTCCCTTTTTAAGGCCCCTCTTTGCTTTCTCTTTCCAAGCTCCGTGATAAATAAGACTGCGTGGTGGGCCTCAAAGGTTATTGAGTATGGTGTTACCTGTTGTCGAAGTCTCCCACCTCCCGTCATCTTCATCGTACTTTGCAGCAATCCTCCAACCCCTTGGACTCGTGTATATCAGTTCTGACGATATATCACACCCAGCTCCCCTGTCAGTGGTGTTTGGTACACCGACACGCCCGGTTCTTGAAATCAGGCAAGTCTTGTCACCCGGCGACGTACACCGACCAGTCCATCTTGTATTCACAGCGCCAACAAGATCTGCTGTAGCCAACTTCTATCAACGTGGTATCCAAGCGAACCCGTCACAGACACTCCTGCTACAAGGATCGACTGATCGTGATACCCTGCCCAATACTGGCTGCATGAGAGCAACTGTCATTGACATGGACGGCAACAGGATAGAAGCTGTGTATCTTGGTCAACAGTCCTTGGATGACACAGCGAAGAAGAGCACCCGTAATGGTGGGCAAACTTGGACAGGCTTGATCGACCATGGTTTAAAGTACGGTCAAGGTGCCTCTACACCCGTGGTGAGCGCTCGGGTCTTTTCCCAGCGTGAACCATGTGGGCAACAGTCGAGTGAATCATCACATCGGACAACTCATGAGTTCTCACGAACTTTCTCGGAAAAGGATTCACTCAACTCGAAATCTTTGCAGTCCACGAATACACAAGCTGGGGAGTCACAAGGAGTATCAGGCACAATCAACACATCTACTGTTGTTGGTACACTTCTGGGTTTAGCTGCTGGCGCTATCCTCACTTACGGAATAGTTTCCAGCGACAAGCACGAAGCTACACATAATCATGCCGACAGTTCACCGGCCTCGTCACAAAAGGTCAAATCAGGTCCAAGGTTTCCTGGAGCGGGAAATCATGGAGATGGAGGGCCTGGTTTCTCGAGTAGAGATATGCCAGTGAAGGCAACTGCCTTCCAATATGACCTCCCGCACCGAAGTCCATGGAGTCGGCAATTGGGGGGATATGAAGCTCGGGTCACGCGGAGGCCTCCGCCGGTTCAATCGTCGGATGCAGGTGTAGGCCAGGTCAGGCCGCAAGCCTTGCGCGACATCAAAAGCATTAATCTCCCTATGGCGCCTGGGGAGAGAGGAGTTGAACGTCGACAAGTTGTAGCAGATACCAACTGGAATGGAGGAGACCTGAATGATGTTTGGGTTGGTGATGCTACACCGCCGCCGATTGTTGACTGTGGTTCAACCCGTCTTTCCTCGGCCAAGCGTAATACAGGTTCTCTGGTGGTGCCATCGGTCGCATCGCGACCGTTATCGAAAATGCCACGGCAAGTCATCCCATCACGAGCCTCAACAGCAGCATTCGATCCTGAGCGAGAAACCTTTGTGTCCGCTAGGTCTCGCGTGTCTTCTTCGCCCGTCGACCAGACGCCACGGCATATGAACCCCGTACCGGCGACAGTCGAGCCCTTTAGCCGTGCCCAATGGATGCCCTCGTCTATGAGTCATGTCTCCGCCAGCCGTATCCCCCTACCCGAGACTATCGTGAACAGTGGTGTTTCTGCGAGGGAAGTTCCCTTGCCTGCCAGCGGTGTGGGGAGCAGCTGTGCTGACTGGGGGGACGATAACGATAGCATAGCACCCAGCGATAGCATCAGTTGCGTGGGAGCAGGGAGGAGACGCGGTGTTTAAAAGCATGGGGCTGGTGCTAGTTCTTTTTCTGAGCTGGAATTGCAAAATGACATTCTCTCTCTCTCGTTGTCCTTTGCCACCACTGTAATATAGGCCACAGCTCGAGTGCGAAGAACAGAGTACACCACTATACTAGCTGGCTCACTGTTAACTGTTAACTTTTGACTGTTAACTGTTCACGCCGATGCTGCCTGGAGCCGCGACCCTGCTTAAAGTCATTGGATCTGGTAGTACTAGTATAGTAGTATTCACGTACTTAAGTAGTTTGTACGGAGTACATAGTACTAGCTGCACAGTTAGCAGGTTTGCGGAGGTCCGATGGTCGGCCCCCCCGCCAGGGTCGCCCCACCAATAGTAAATACTAGACGAATTCAACTTCGATCAGAGGCAACTCTGACCTAAATGCTAATTTCGGTCAAAACATAACTAAGGCGGCAGTTTATCCCAGGACATGACCAACGTACAGCCGCATACATATTACCGGTAAAACACGCATAGCTGCGAGGATATCCCCAGCCCTCTACTGCCATCATGTCACCTCTTGCCCTGGGCGAATCCATTCCCCAGGACACAGCTCATGTGAGTTCTGCCCATAGAGAGCCCAAAACATTACAGAAAAGACTGACGCATAGCGCATAGGCTGTCAGCGTGTCACTGCCCACATGGAAATCCAATATTGGTTACGAAGAAGGCGAAAAGTGGGTTGTCGAGAAGATGGCGACTGGCTATCCCAGGTACAAGCTATATTGACTCTCCCGCATGGCTCGACTGTTCCTAACAACGCAATGGCACAAGGTTCTTCATCCATAAAAGTATTCAGGCACTTGCCTCAGATATTGTATCAGACTATGGCTTAAGTGACCAGCAGGCAATGCTGTTTCCGACTCCAGCAGCCGCACAACGCTGCATTAACTTTGTCACCAACGCAGAGCCCAGCTATCTACAGAAAATCAATCTTGTCGAGCTGGCTCTGGATATGTCCAAAACTCTATCACCGTTGCTGAAGAAGCTTGCTCCAACAGTATCTGCTATCCTGTTGCCCAAGGCAGCTTTTCCCATAGCAAAACAGTATTGGCAACACACAGGAGATGGTGTTTCAAGCCGCCGCGCCGAGTTTTGTCACAGCTTGCTGAGAGATGGTCTGCTTATTCCAACCAACTCAACTCAAATATCAAGCGAAGCATCACCATGGGCGATCCGAGGACCCAAAAGATACCAACGAACAGGGAATAATGGTAATTCAAAGGATACGGGAAGCTACAACTACGAGGAGTCTTTGGAAAGCTCTCGTTTCCTGGAAGAAAGATTTGGGAGGAACTTAGACCTTGCATTTGTGGAACGTGCTAAATCTGCTATCCGAAGACGAATTGCCGGGTGTCTAGTACAAGACATGGATTCCTTACCTGTCATGGCTTCGAATTCACGGGGTTTGCAGAATTTACACGAGGACGATGTGTATCTATTTCCAGCGGGAATGAATGCCATCTACAATGCTCACCGGGCTCTTCTCTATGCCAGGGGTCAAATGAAAAGCGTCAATTTTGGATTTCCCTACGTTGACACGCTGAAAATTTTGCAGAAGTTTGGTCCGGGGTGTGAGTTCTTCGGCCATGCCTCATCTGCCGACCTGGACAAATTTGAGGAGCTCCTGAGAACTGGTCATCGTTTCCTGGCGCTATTTTGCGAATTCCCAGGAAATCCTCTCTTGATATGTCCAGATCTACAACGGATTCGTCGCCTAGCAGATGAGTTCGATTTTGCAATCGTTGTAGATGAAACCATTGGGACTTTCGCCAATATCAACGTTCTGCCAGCTGCCGACATTGTCGTAAGCAGCCTGACGAAGATATTCTCCGGCGATTCTAACGTGATGGGAGGGAGTGCCATATTGAACCCTAACAGTCGGTTCTACGGGCAAATTAAAAAGGCTATGAACTACATATACGAAGACACATATTGGCCAGAGGATGCAATTTTCATGGAGAGGAACAGTCGAGATTTTTTCAACAGAGTGGACCGTATAAACACAAATGCGGAAGCTATTTGTGCTACTCTGCAACAACATGCAAGCGTCAAGGACATTTTCTACCCCAAGTGCAACCCGTCTAGGCATTACTACGACGAGTACAGGCTGCCAAACAGAGGATACGGAGGCCTACTGTCCATTGTCTTCCATTCTAGGCAACATGCAGAGGCCTTCTATGACTCCGTGGAAATTGCCAAGGGGCCTAGCCTTGGAACCAATTTTACGCTGGGTAGCCCGTACGTACTACTTGCACACTATCAAGAGCTGCCCTGGGCTGCGCAGTTTGGGGTTGCAGAGGATTTGGTTCGTATCAGTGTAGGACTAGAAGACACTGAAATGCTTCAAAATATTTTCAACAGAGCATTGAATGCGACGGAAACAATGCCGAAGACAGATTCAGATTTCAACACTTAGTCATACCATGAATTTCTTCCACCATCCAAATAACAAGTCAAATCTGGCAGATCAGATTTTTTTTTTTCTTTCATACGGATTCATTTGAGAACAGATAGGCCCGGGGAGTATGATAAGTCTTGTCTTCATCAACCAACTATATTCACTACTCAATCAGGTATGGAAGTTGTTTATGCGAAGTAGCACCCTGGAAATGATACCGTCAGTAGAAGAGGATTGAACTGCAGCTTCAACAGTGAACATACGAACAGACAACATCTGATGAGGGGATATCTTGCAACGGGAGTGGATCAATCCTAGACCTTGTTGTCGCATGATTCAATAGTGATTACAGGCGTACATCAAGTATTAGGTCATTATGACAACGCCATGCTATTATTTTAGCTACAAGACCACACAGTCATGATGTGTGTAGCCAGGTCCGTAATCCTCAATGCCTCGCTCTATCTCATTCGCTCGTTGTTTCTCCTTTACTTCTTTTGCGAAGTATTGTTTCATGTACTTTTCCAGCACACGGTCAAGATTGTCTGGTGATACAATGGAATTAGAAAATGTCTGCTGAAAAACACAACTTGGAGCAGTCTTACCTGCAGACGCGTTCATGACGACATCTGCTCGACACAACGGACAATGTCTCTCGTTTCGCCGCTGAATCTTAACCACGCATCTTATACAAAACACGTGCCCACAGTCGAGTCGCACTGGACGATATGCTACAGAGAAGCACACTGGACACAGGTAGTCATTTAATTGAGGCACAACCGTGACCAACTGCTGTGACATCTGAGCGCAAATGTCTTTAGCCATATCTCTCGATAGAAAGCTCTCAGATTGTATGGCGGATCGAAATGTCTGGGACACGCCGAGTGATGTTCTTTTGTCAAATTCTACTGGGATCTTAGCAACCCTGCCTGTGTGCGTTGCATAAGGACTTCTACCGAGGCACTCACTCTTCAGGATTTTGACTATGGCGAGTTTGTTCAGTTCCTGGAACTGAAGGTTCTTCAACAAGCTTAAGTTGAGATTAACGAACCTTGAAAAGGCCATCCGGCTCTCCCGGAGCTTGAAGTCCCTGGCAAGATGGCCCTTTTCAACCTCGGCTTGGAACCACTGCAACTGCTTCAGAGCCATTTGACTTGACCGTGTGCCATGATCTCTTTCATGAGTACCAAAAAACACTTCGGCATCCAGGTATAGCTCGAATATGCGACGCCAACGAGCAAGGTCACTTTTAGAGAACCGACTGGTTCGGCAAACAAATGAGACTTCCTTGCCTAGTTCCACCACCTCTGCAGTCATTTTCCCCTCCTCCTCTGTTTGAAGAGCGTCCAAGTTATTCACGTCACTTTGAAGCATGTCGAAAAACTCGGCATCAAAGACCAGGGGCACCTCAACCGTCTCATACATATTATGGTCGTTTCCGTCAGCCTGGCGGTCAGCATCGTGGCCAGAGGCTAGTACGGGGCTGGTTTCTGTAGACTGCGTATCTGCATGCGTGCCTGCTAGGCCCATAGGGTCAGAGCGTATTTCCGCAGCAACTCGCTCAAAGAAGCCCCGCGACGTGGGTGTCAGGGACGCATCTACGGCGACACCATCCTGCAAGTGGACGTAGACGGTAAGTTTTGGTTGAACGAAATTGGAGTTGGTCGCAGCTGGACGTGGTGACTCAGTTAGCAGGTTTGATCAAAGAACAATGTCTTCCAAAGCGAGTCGCCTTGTACCTTGACTGTGATGGATTACTTTTTAAATGGTATTGTAGTGCGACAGGAGATGTTGTGGTAGGGTCGAGTAATGCACGAAGGGTCTCGGGATCGAGGCCCAGGTCGCGTAGTTCTCGCTGCACTTTCTTGAGACATTTCTTCAGCTGACCATAAGGTATAGCTCTGGTAACCCAATGAGGAGGGAAATCTACAGCATGAGATGCAACCGTCAGTGTAACCGTGTTGCGGCAGCTGAAAACAAGATGATAGCTTGGACTCCATCAACTGTACTCTATATGGCTAGAAGAACAGGTAGAAGAGGATTCGGAGCTCGGGAGGGGAGCCTTGACGCACCTTGGTTAGCCAGAGTTTCTTTAAAGTCACGAGCGAACTTCATTTTGACGTGTCTTCATTGCGGACTGGCACAGAGTAATCGGCCGTTCCAGAGAGACTGGCGTCAGCATCACCAACTTCGGATTGTGAGTGGGGTTTGTGTGGGAGAAGCAGTTGTATGTTAGGTACTCCGTACCTAGGTATGTTCAGTGCTCGAAGTACATACTGACCATCTGATGGCGTCAGCGAACATTGAAGGTTTTTCGCCTGAAGAAGTCAACTGATCCTCCGGTGCCACATCCTGTTTGGTTAATGTCACCAGCGCCTGGTGCCACCCACCTAGCACCATCTCTTTAGTTGCCCAATGGCTCGTGGAGACTCGCTTACCTAAGTACTTAAGTAAGTAAGATAATTGTATGGCAGAAGAGGCCCCACGAGCCATTGGACAGCAAAGAGCTATCATAGTACTGCAGTGCCCAGGCACGAGGACATTTGAAAGCAGATAACACCGAACTCCTCCACTAGCTATAAGTACCTACTTAAGTACTTAAGGTACTTACTTAAGTAAGTCCATATAACTTCTCCCTATATGCCAATACATAAGTACTTAGATGATTTGGTTGCCTACTACCTAGTAGGTACTTGGAGGCGGACATGGAGTGTTCGGTGTCTCTGCTAGCTACTAGGTACCTAGTATCATCCGAGTGATCACTCGCTTACCTACGATGATTCTGAACCGGCACTTACGGGACCGTCTACGGATATTGGGATATCGTGCACTGGTTCATAATATAATCAATAAACTACTAAGTTGCAGGAAACCGACAGCCACAGCCCAATATTTGGTAGCAAAGCTACAGTTGAGCTACGAAGCTCCACTTCGCCCCGGCCCACCAGCCACCATTGCTTAGTGCTCAGTGTGGTCTTCTGTATCATAATTACTCACCCAGATGCTATTTGTGCCCTTGATTACGGCGCACGAACTCGATATCCTTGTGCAGCGACGTATCTACCACAGAAGACAAGCAAAAGCTAACTCACTGTCTTCACCTACATACCCGTCTTTATTGCTGCATTGCTGATCGCATTCAAATTATCCATACAATATATATTAGAGTTCAGATCATCGGACCTATATCCATTGAGTATAAAACTCGCACCAGCTCTCGCACGCTTGGACTGCCAAAAGAAAGAGGGCCACCAACGTAAAGCAGGATCTAGCCCAGGCTTGGCTGTGATAGCACCTTGAACCTAGCTATTTATTCTCCCTTCCAGTTGAACTAAGGGGGACGATGGGTGCCCAACAGTCTCTGCCAGGGGCTCAAAGTGAAAACTCAACCTCGAATCCCTCCAAGATCTGCTACTATGAGCTTATAGGGGTTGATACAGATGCTACAGACGCCGAGTGTGTATAATCATAATTCAGATGCTTTTGAATGATGAGACCTTACTGACTGTTTGCCAGGATCAAGAAGGCATATCGAAAGAAGGCTCTTGAGCTTCACCCTGACCGCAATCTTAATAATGTCCAAGAGGCAACGAGGAACTTCGCAGAGATTCAAGCAGCATACGAAGTTTTATCTGATCCTCAGGAACGGGCCTGGTATGACTCACATCGCGATTCGATTCTAGCCGGCAATGACTTTGCGGGGGACGATACCGAACCCGCTACATTTCGTAACGTCCGCCTTACCACAACGGAAGAAATATTCAGCTTAATACGTCGGTTCAATGCCACAATACCCTTTAATGATGAGCCTACTGGATTTTTTGGTGTCTCCAGGGAAACGTTTGAACACCTAGCTCTCGAGGAGGAAACCGCCGCAGAAATTGGGCAGATAGACCATTCTTACTACCCAACTTTCGGGTCCTCAGACGACGATTACGAGGCAGTTGTAAAAAAATTTTATGCTGCATGGTCAGGATTTTCCACCAAAAAGTCATTTTCGTGGAGAGATAAGTATCGCTTATCTGATGCTCCCGATCGACGTATACGTCGTCTTATGGAGAAGGAGAATAAAAAATGTCGAGACGATGCTATTCGTGAGTTCAATGATGCTGTTCGATTTTTGGTAACTTTTGTCCGCAAACGTGACCCTCGATACCTTCCAAATTCCCAGACGGACGCCGAGCGACAAAAGCAACTGCGAGATGCAGCTGCGGCACAAGCCGCTCGGTCGCGTGCTGCCAACCGACTGAAGTTCGAGTCATATGTGGCTCCGGAGTGGTCACGGCCGCAAGACGAACATGGACTGGATGACTATTTTTCCGATATCGAGGAGGAGGACTCCGAAGTAGAGATTTTGGAATGCGTCATCTGCAACAAGTCGTTCAAAAGTGCTCAGCAATTTGAGGCTCATGAGCGCAGCAAAAAGCACGTGAAAGCTGTTCATCACTTGGGTAAACAAATGAAGAAGGAAGGTATCGCTCTTGAACTAGACGTAGCTCCAGTTCAAGAAACAGGTCAACGCCCGACCATGGAATCAGTTGACCTATTTACCACTGAAGCTAGTCCTCAGGAGACTGACCCAACCATGTACCGACCTGCAGACGGGCGAGCCTATCAGGAAGAGCAGATTGAAGCCTCGGATTCATCGACTGACCAGCAGACCGATGAATATGCTCCAAGAGATGAAGTAGAGGAGCGCTTACGCCTCTCAGGCCCTGAAGGCTGCGATGTTGACCGCGTGGAAGACATGGCTGAAGCCCACCTTGTAGCATCGGTTCAAAGTGTCAGTCTTGATGAGGTATCAGTGTCTACTCAGGGTAAGATTGGAAAGGCAAAGGCCAAACGACAAAGGAAAATGGCTCGACAGCTAGAAGAGGCTACGGCGCAAGTACGTTGACCAGAATCCCATGCATTCATTAAGTACAAATCTAAGATGATTATAGCAACAGTGTAGTGTCTGCCACGCAGAATTCTCTTCGAGATCGAAACTCTTCGATCATATTCGCCATGAAAACCAT